GACGTCCGTTTCGTGCTATTATAGGACTCCTCAGCAGTGCACATCCACGATCCCGTTCGCTGGATTTTTGAATAATGTACACAATTCAATCGACATCACATCCCATGAGTCAAAGTCATTATTATTACTACTATTATTATTGTCTACAGTGAAAACAAATCATCGGAATTTGTGCTAAAACAGGATTAGAAAAATTTAAAAAACTATGGAGTTTCCTTCCATATTTTCCTGGCCATTAGTTATCGTTTCCGGATTACCCTGTTTTACCCGTAGATTCATAATAATTGGTTTTTTCTTCTAAATAAAGCATATCATGTGTACTTTCTAAGTTAATAACTCCCTTTTCTTGATATGTAAGTAAAGTGATATACTATCGTAGAAATAATACACTATATTAACCATTAAAAATGATTAGAAATTATAGTTAAGATAAAAGTATGTAAATATTAATTGTTGGATGTTAACATTACGACTATTTAGATATTGTTTCTCTGTAAACCTATTTCTTCGAGAATAGTAGTTATTGAGGATATTTATGATGTAAAAACACAATTATATCTATTGATATGTTCGATGTCATTTATATCATCATCAAACATACCCTGAAATACAAGCATAACTACATTGATTCCATACAATTGATATACAATCTCCCAGGTATATCGTTTATCCTCAATTAAGTGTTATTTTATGTTACAGCTGTCAAAAGTTTTAAACCTAATCTATACATTCAAAGGCATGTTGCTATTAATATTTCATTTGCATGATTTCTATGTACTTATTTTAAGATTAATTTGAGAAAATTTATTCTTCATCTTATATGATCTCTACGCATTTTACCATGACAGTCAGTTCATGACATTCTCAGTTTTCCGTTCTATAATGTTCAAATACCTATCTTATAAATGATCAAACTTAATGGATTATTCTCACATACATTGACCTCAGTTTACTAATCCACATTCGTGTTCTTTCTTAAATAAGTCAGAACTCTTCTGTAATGTCAGGTGCGAAGATGCAGTCAGCAGGATGGCTTGGACCCAAGTTTTGTGCAAATTGGTGCGCATCAGCAAGAAGTATCTACCTCGCAGGGATTGATGGTTCATTTAGGATTCCACCTACTATCACCCATCACATTCAGAGGCGATATCATACGAATATTGAAATCATAACTGACTCCTGTAGGAGACTTCCACAACTGATTGATCAGTAAATAGTAAGCTAAATTACTACTGCCTAGTCTTTATTACTGATCTCAGTCCTACCGAGTTATCCAAGACCCCGATAACTCAGTCGTGATCTCTTTGAACGTGATGCTGAGTGACATCAGTTCAAATCCTACTACCAGTATCAGTCCTCCATAAAATTACTAATACAGTTTACAAGTGGCAACTAGCATGTAACCAAAGTCTAAGGCTTCTTACAAATCGCTCACAGCCACTCAAAATGAGACAGGTGCATTGTGATGTCGAGTAATAGATATATAAATTCTTCGCTTCAGCATTAATTCCGTATGCATATTAGTTGTGTTAATCTGTTCAACAAAAATTGCCAGCACTTGGGCACTTCGATTACTTCGCCGAACTCAAACTGCTTCTTGAAAACGACATATTTTCGTTAGCAGACTTTCCTCGCTCATACAACGGGTAAGAAGTGTCAAAACGCTAGCAATATAGCTAATGACTAGAAATATAGACCGGAATTAAGTTTTTCTTCTTATTTGGCATCATAGTATATAGGGAGTCTACCATACAAAAGTTTAAGGAAGTCCCAGTCATGCGAAAAATATCAACACAAAAAGTAAGCATCGTAATAACTTCTCATCACTTTATGGCTGTACAATATAACCGTTTTAGGAGTAATATACGTCATAACTGCAGATAATATCACTGATTTTTAAAAGCCTTCGGTCGATGAGTCAAACGATTCCAAACTCAGGTGTTTTAAATCTAATCATTTGGTAAAGTAAGTAAGTAAATCATTCCCCGTACGGATAAGTAATTCAAACAGCTTACACTTGATAGACAGTAAAAGTGAACTTTGATAGGCATCTTTATTAATAACACTTAAAGTGTAATGTCAACTCGTTTAAAGAAAACAGTGGATCACTTGGTCAATCATTGTTCTTTACCTATTTGGCTTACTATATACTCCTGTTTAATAAGTTCACTGACTGTAACTAAAGGTGACGTATCTTGGCCCTCAAATGCCCTGGTACGGTCGAGAGTGGGGAGAGTCCGCTCTCCCTCTCCAAATGCTCTCACATGGCCACACGTATATAGCCTCTGTCAGGGAAGTCCTACTTACTGTCTTCTCGTGGCGGGGGTGTTGTTTACGAATTCGAGAGGACGAAAAGCGAATGTCCGGCGCTTTAACCGAGTTGGTGGACACGGAAAGTCCATATAGGGGAGTTGGAAAACCCTGATTCCAAGTCAATAGTGCACATAGGCTTCAGTATCCTGAGGGGAAAAATGGCGTATGAACCAAACGTTGGTCACCAACTACCATGGGACTGCATCTCCTGAAGTTGCTCCACTGCAGTGTGGACTAGAACTTTAGGTCAAAGGCTCCATGTGTAGCCCATTAAGAAAACCACCTACTTTGATTTGGGCACCCGGGCAGTACAACAGCCCTCACAAAAATTAATGAGATTTGTGTGGCGCATATATATCTGGTGCCCCTTTGTAACAATATTTGTGTTTAAATAAAATAAATAATGAGATGGTGTAGCTTGAATGCCCATATATACAATGTTTATCAAACTTGATTCATTTTAAGTAATCGTAACGCTTTATTAAATTCCAAACTAGCATACACGACAGTACTACATACCAATGTGAATACAATTCCTCAGCTGAACAATATTTTAAAAACCATAGATAGTTTGTAATAATCATAGTTGAATGTTACTCGTACATGCTGATTTACCTGGTCATCAAGACAAGTTGACTTCTCTAACCCGGTAGTCATTAGGTTAATTTTAAATTGTACTCTGAATAGTTAATTGATATTCAACTGTCAACGTCATTCCTATACTGATAAAGATTCGAATAAAATCGTAGATTCTGGAAATTCATTAAATACAAATAACTCATAAGGTAATATAATAATCCTTAAAGTATTATGGATACGACAAGGTTGATTTTAAAATCGAAAAGCTATGATAGATCTGTCCTAGGGAACAAGAAACAAACCGGATATCTTATGGCAGATAAATTATTATTATTTGTTGCATAACTCGGTACTTTATAGTGCTGTTCATAGATACCGTAACGAATGTTATGACAAACTGAACAATTCGAAAACTTAGGACGACAAGCATCAATTGAAATGGCTAAAAGGGTCTATCTAAAGCCGAGTAAATCATCTGAGTTTCACTTTGTACGATTACAGTACCAACCTTTGGATTACATATACTCACTAATTTACTCTTCCGTTCATTCCTGAACATTTTTTCTAACATTCCGTTGTGTAGCGTTGTGTCAACCACGAAAAACAATACTGATTCAAGTTATTGTAGCCAGTTTTCATATAAACTAGATGATTTCGGTTTTAATTGATTGATGTTGAAATAGATTTTCACATATCACCTGAAGACCGTCTTACACTGTGAATAAAGTTAGGCGTTTAAATATGTTAAAGAAACAATACTCGAAAACTACGAAACAAAAAAGAGTTTAACTTTATATGTATGGACATTGGCTTCTTTTGACATGAATTACACAATGAATAAGATACAGGAAATAGAGATAATGGTAGTAACAATAATTATCCTGATAAGCGTAAATACGTCACAAAGTTTTGTTCTTTCCGAATAGAATATAGAGAAGTAACAAATAAGGAACATACCAAGTTGAAAAATAGAGGCGACCCATGTGTAAAAAGGTAATATGGATAATAAACACTGATCTTGTAGTAATAATAGTGTTAGTGAAAAAAGGAGAATAAAAGTAATAAGTCCAAGTTACTGACTGGACAAACAGAAAGTGTATATTACTGACGTCGTCAGATAAAAAACCCAGCATTACGATGAACTAAAAAATAATTAAGTGCATTATGAATTATAGAATATTTGTTGACTGCAATAAAATGATTGTCCAATAAACAATAATAAATGGGAGATGGTGTGAAATTACAGTGTCATAAGAATAATTATTATTAAATTTTCTTTCGTAAAAATAAAACAACTAACTTACACACACATAAATAATATGAAAGAAATCCATGTTTTCTTTTTGACAGAGGTAGGAACTTGGATTTCATTCAACATACCACAGTCCCCTATCATATGCATTAATCGTGAAGTTGCTATTTGATAATGTTGCTGTAAAATGGTAGTAGAAAAATTTGACTTAACATACATATCTACTAAAAACATGGAATGTCATAAATTTACAGTACTCGATAGAAAAACAGATCAAAAATTAAGAATACTTAATGGTCACTAGGCAAATAATGAAGCATCAGTGAATTTGTTGGCATACATTAACTCCATATATATATATATATATATATATATATATATATATATATATATATATATATATATGATATTGCAGAGAGAATTTGTTCCCAAAGAAAAATTGGACAATTATTAGATTCCCAAAAACTTTAAAAAAATTAAATGCGTACACTGTGTAAGAGTTTAAGTAGTGATGTTGAGTATCTTCAAGATATTAGTGAACAAACAAAAACGAACTAGCTGTACAACAGGTTTTCTATGAATAAACAATGCAAACATGTACACACACGTATTTAGAGTTTTAGAAAAGTTGAAAGAAGATAATTATTCAGAACACAAATGCAGCAACAAGGCACAAAACCTTTGATTAGTAGTTGTTAAGAAAAAAAAGAAGAATAAGGAAGATCGTTGAAATTGTGATGTAGAGAATAAACGAGAGAAGGCAGCTGTTGACAGGCTAAAAATATTAGAAATTGGGTTCATCTCTTTAAATTGCAGATTTGTAGTGAATGAATCAACACATACAGGCAAATGCGTGAAATAAGGTCACAAAAAGTATATATATATGAATAGGGAACAATACAAACGCATACTAATTTTATTAGCTGAAAAGAGGTCTTTCTGCTCTTGTTCTGTTTACAAAACTTAATGTTGATAGGCATAGGTTTGAAAATCGTTTGTCATACGTTGTTGAGCTGCTTGATTCGGCTGTTGTTGTTGGGGTGAAGGTTGTTGCTGTTGTTGTTGCATATATTGTTGTTGTACTGAGTTGGGATTAAACGCCGCTGCGGCAGCAGCTGCTGCAACCGCCAATTGTTGTTGCTGTTGCTGTTGAGCTGCTTGAAGTTGTTCAGCGTTTGTCCAGACGCGTTGATTACATACTTGTTGTTGCTGTACTTGAGGTTGTTGAGCTTGTATAGTTTGTTGAATGCTTGATTGTTGTTGTCCTTGATTCGGAGGGAACGTTTGCATCATACCTAAATAACAAAACACATTGAAGTGACTTAGTTATACATTCGGAAATTATATGACGTACAGAATTAGTGCCTTAATTAAAAGCTACAATTTGATGTAGATATTTAAATACGATACCCTCTAATTCAAGCTAATCAAACCATACAATTTAAGTATGTATGTCTAGTCACCTCGATCCGTGATGTCTATCAATGTAGAACGTAGACGACAGACACCTAAGGAGTTGTTAAACAGAAATTTGGTATCAGCATACACAATCACTGACGTTTAAACTGAATCGTGTTGGTAGATCCAGACTATCTGGCTAGGGTCCGTATAGTTATTGTAAGGGATGATCAGACATGGGATAGAAATGGATGCAATGGTGTAGATAAGTTTACGCATCATCGTCTCAAGATTTCATGTTTCAATATCCTCTCATTCTGAACTAAATGCCGAGATGGGTTATTAACTTACTGATCTCAAAAGAGAACTGGAAAACAGCAGTGAAGTAACATCTTTAATTCACAACAGAGAAACAGGGTTTGAAAAACTCATTAATACTTTCTAAAACTTTGTGTGACACAAATCTGAAGTTTAACAAACATAACTGTTGTTTACAGTTTGAAGTATTTAAACAGTACTAATGTGACTAACCCTTAGACCCAAAGAGCAAACGATAAACAATATAATGATATATTTAAAGAACTGACATAACCTTCCAGAAACTGAAAAGTGAAATAGACACGTCGAGGACGTAGTGCGAATATAATGTCACTATCGGATCAACATAGGCTTTGAAAGAGAACTGTATTCAGAAGGGGTAAATCGTTTCCGGATATAACTGAAGTATAGGTACCTGATATGAATCACCTTAACTTCTGCATAATACCAAAGAACCTAATTAGTCAGTGCAGTTTTAACGCAAGAGTTTAAGTTTGAATACCAAAGAAAACTGGTTTGATACAAAAGGATAATTGCACACATATTCAGAAATAACCATACAACTTTCATGACTTTAAGTAGTCAATAAAATTCAAGGGGATTGTTTTACGTAGGGTTTGTCATTACACTTAATTTAGGCAAACAATAAGCTGAAAAATAAATCTCGACTAAACTGGAACTACATTGATATATACCAGGAAGTTATTGAAGGTCAGTTACGTTTGCTTGAACGATTTCGCTTCAAATACCCTCATTTAAAAATGCTTGCAAAAAACGTTCTTTACGAACTAATGTCGCGAACAACCCCATCTACCTAGGAATTCATAACCTTCAGTGTTAAGTAACTGATAGTTTATATGGTTGTGTTCCCAAGAAATGGCATATATTTGAGGCGGAATAAAGTAAAATAAGCAAACGTTGATGGGTCCTTATCCATAACCCAAATAAGCAAGAAAAGGCCATTTAGAAAAATGTTATTAATCTCGATGGGAAACTACATACACATTAGAAGGAAGACTACTGATACCCTGTAGAAATAATTATTAGTAGCATAGTTATGGTGTGACAATAAATGTAAATCTTATTTTTTTTTTAAACAATGTTCATAAGATACTTATAATTACCGGGTAACTGATGAGCAGCTGCATATAACTGATGTAACTGCTGTTGTGCTGAAGCTAAAGCTTGTTGCTGTTGCGATCCTGGGGAATTTGATATAACCGCTGGACTAATAGGAGGGGAACCCGATGCTGAATATAACATATGCCGATTAGGGGTAGACATTTGTTGTTGTTGTTGTTGCTGCTGCTGCTGCTGGCGCTAGAGAAAACAAAACAAAGAAAGTGATTTTAAGGATTATCAAGCTTACACACCCTCTCTACCATTCATTTGTTTTAGGATGTAATCTAGTTAACAAGAAACATACTGTAATATTTTACATGACACACCTGTTAAAACAACGTAATTGGAACAATTTTATAGGAATAACATTCTCAATTGATCGATAGAAAATATTAAATCATGAATAAGCAGAACGTCAACCACCAATACTTGTAGTAGCTGTCGAGTTTCCTAATAATTCCTCCTATTTGTAACTGATTGACTGTAATACAACTTCATCGTTCAGTACGTACAATGTGACAGAAAATCTAATGGACTGTCTGTCAGTGACTACTTATCAGGTTGATTAGATACTAATCAATAAAAAAATTATAAAATGTGATGGCTAGTAGATATTATAAGAGGACAATACTCATCGTTTCTTTAGATGGCAGTCATAAGAAACAAATCACATGAGCAAGGGAGTTGAAAAAGACCACAAAAGATAGTGTACACAGTACAAGTAATTGTCAGGATATCGTTTTAGTCAGATACTGACAAATAACTCTTGAATAGATAGAATGGAATACAAAGTCAAGCAAAATAACGTGTATAGAGACAGTATGAAAGTTGATATTTCATGACTTCACAGAGAATGAAACATAAATTAATACATATTTCAAGGAATTAGCACACGTATTCCCCGACATACGTCGGCAAATATTAAAAAAAGGGGAATAACCAAGGAGAAAAACACTGAGTTTAATATGAGGAATCTAGCTTGCAGAGGGAAATAAGATTGAGTAATGAACAAAGAACACTAATGACAGAATTTAAAAGAGATACATATTGCATAATATGGCTTAAAACCAGTTGTAGTGAAGGCATTCTCAATCTCTAAATTCCTGCAAATCTTGTGATCAGTATTATTCCATAATTTTCATTCTTTGAGCTTACTTTCCCTTCGTCGAAAATCTGCAATCGACGCAATTCATTAACATACAATACCCATATTTTAGTAATAAAGTAAGACAGTGACCCGTCACACAGTATACTCGCTTTCTGAGAAGCAAATGACAGACACTGTCTTTCCGAAATGTAACGCGAATTGACGAAAAATAGTCTACTTTTTTGCAGCCTCGACAAGATTTCAAGTTACCTGAAACAATATTTCGACCAATTTGGATTAAACATTTTCTTGCATAAAAAAGGACAAGAATTATGTACCGCACAAAGTCGAATGGCAATATTGTGGAAAAATAGAAAAGATGAAGGTAGTATAACCACGGCAAAAAATTAGACAGAAACAGTGAATACTCCACGTCGACAAATAAATCTCCCATTAAAGTAATTCCTGGAAAGTAAGGTTATTGTTTATTTCTAAAAGTATATCCAAGGAAAAATCAAAGAAAATTGACACTTTAGGATACTAATTAGGTAGTTTTGATTCTTTATTGAAGTGAGATTATTGATCACTGACTTTATCGACCACATATTCACTATTCGTCAGATTTTAAACACGGGCATGCTTATCAGCGTCCGACAATGATAGTTTTTCTTGACTTAAAAGCAGCATTTGTCTCTGTGGACCAAGATGTTCTGTGGCAGTGCCTTTCATTGAAAGGTGTACCTCAGGAGTACATAAACCTTGTGAAGGCTCTTTACTCGAACACTACCAGTCGAGTGAAAGCTTATAGCGAACTGTCATCCGATTTTGCAACCCCAAGTGGTGTCTGGCAAGGCTGTCCACTATCCCCATTTTTGTTTAATTCCATTATAGACCTACTACTGGTAAAAAACGTTCTCGTTGACTGAATTTTCGGGCATTGATCCCCTACCAGAAGGTCCACCTAATGACCTAGAATACGCAGATGACATAGTCCTGTTTGGTGAAGACGTTGATAAAATGCAGTCTTTTGATAGCCCTGAGTAACAATGCAAGGTAATAGATATTTAGCGGATATTTCATGATTTCCCATTTTAATGAATAGCCGAGATTAATTGTAAAAACCTAAATACGCAGCTCATTGTTTAATGAGAACATTCAAAATAAATTCATATAACTATGTTGAGTTAAAGTCTTTTCCTGAAATCAATTTTTTTACTAGATTGTTAAGGTAATAATTCAGATCTGAATTGAAGTTGGTTATCAGTTATAGTTTAGTATAAGCAAAACTTTATCCTCGTGAAAACACTTTCAAATACAACAATCATAAGTCTATTTGTTAAATTGTTGAGATAATAACTAGAAGTAGACATTATGTTGAAACCCTATTTGGTGATCAAAAATAAAAACAAGTGGTACAAACAATCAATGAAGTTTCAACGATGATCTATGTGGCAATTCAAGTGAAAAGTATGAGATATAAACTAACAGGAATCCTTACGATTTAACAAAACTCGTTCTTATAATCATGTTAGTATAAACAACAATAAATATCGTTTTTACTAGATAAACTGAAGTGACGTAAACGGCAGTGAGCTTAGTAAATTGATGCTAATAGAGACATGTGCACACCATCCATTTCTTGAAGTTCACATTAGAGACTCGCTTAAGCTAGACAAAAACAGGAGTTACTGAACAACTTCTTTGTCGTGGACAGGTACTCACCAAGAACGACTCATTTAACGTCGCCAATGATGCTATTTTATTAACTTTGGATGAAATAGCTTATGAGTAGGTGCAGGAACAGAAAAGTGACATTCTTAATAAGAGAAATTCCGACTCATCCTTCGCATGGATGAAGATTATGGAACCCTCCCTTAAGTCACACTTTATGTGAGGGATAATTAATAATACTCGTCTGGTCAAAGCGAAGTAGGTCAGATTAGAGTAAACTCGACGGGTTAACTGTTAAATCATCTGAACACAATGTTTAGCGTACAAATATATAGAATATAATATATACATTTTCGAATGAGTTTACTAGCCAAAAAGGCGATCATGAATTTGTGAAAATCACCAGTTACGCAAAAAATGATCAGTGATGACCAAATATAATAGATAAGTCTTATTGTTCACTTGCAATGGTGTTGTGAACATTAATAATTGATAATCCGATGAATACAGTCTTCAACGTAGCCACTGTTGTATTTCTTTCAGTTTGAAGAACATACTACTACTATTTAATGTGAATACACAATTGCCATTTTAAATATTTAAAAAAAATGCGTTGACAGATTTTGTTCAACTATTTTTGTTGGTGGACCGACAGACTAAACTTTAAAAATTAGCTGACAAGATATCTTGGTTAGACATGCAGACAAATAACCTAAGACATTTGCCTAGTCAGGGTCAATATTATATATCAATGTGCTAGAGCTACGCCAACGCAGATGCTATATATACATTGATGTTCTGTCTGTATGTCGCTCACATACTAACCAGTTTTTTTCTCTACCCAGTCAATGACTAATGATAAACAAGGTCTGACTACAATGGTTATAGGGTGGGTGGTGGGGAAGAGGAAAACAAAGACAAACGAAACATGGTCAATTCTTTAGGTTTTACGAAAAGACAGTAAATCTATTTTCAGGTCGGGTTTTTTTCTAACATAGACGACTTATGGAAAATGTAGCCTATCGAAAAAATATAAAAATACAAATACGTTTTACTAAGATTACGAACAAAAAACCAGGATTGTGGGGTGTGGAATGCACTAGTGGGAAAACGCCTTCAAAGCTTAACCTCACAAAGCAAACAGAGCACCTAACTTAATTGCTTATGGATGCCGAGTAATTTTTTTTTCTAAATAAGGCCTGCCACTAAGGCAACTGCTAGAGTGACTGTCTTGTGGGTGAAATTTCAGAAACCTTTGAATATCACAATTCGAATACAAGAAATGTGAAGGTGAACATGTGTAACCACAATCATCACAATTGAATTCACGAGTCGATCTAAGCTAGACCACAATTGAAAAGCTCATACTTATAATGTCAATTAGTTAAAAGTTCTATTAATAGTGTATATGATTAATCGGTAGGGTGCAAAAAGAACAAAACTGAAATTGTGATATAAGCAGAAAGTCCGTATTGACACTGAAGCATATAAAAATCACATTGAATCTAACATCTATTGATATGAAACGAACCTGTTAGACTATATACACAAACAATAAAAACACTGCACTGGAATTGAACAAAAGACATTGGTAAGCTGTTATGAAGATATCATATTTGTTAATTCTTAATTTCAAATGGTCAATGAATTTTGAGGGGGTCCTAGCAATTCATCGACATTTGTCATAACTACGAAAAACAAACTAAAAGGTTGAATAGATATAAAATATTTAGGATTTCAAAAAAAGATCGCACACCACCAGTGAACAATTTGAAGAAAGCACTACACAAAGCGTCAAGGATGAGGACCACGAAAGCGAATTTAATTTGAAACCAGCACTTAGGAGCACCCCCCAGAAACTATAGAGTTTAAGCTGTTTTTTTGATAGAGCCAATAATAATAGACTGTAACATAAACGACATGACAAATTGCTATTAGTATCACTTTTTAAAAATTAGTTTCTTACCGCCGAATCTTAAATAATAATAATTCCAAAGAAAATAAATATCAATAAAGAAAAAGGCATATACACTACTCTTTCAAAATATCAAACATACCTGCATTTGTTGACGTTGCAACTGTTGCATTTGGGCCAATGCAGCTGCATTTACTGCCTGATATTGAGCTTGTTGGTTTTGTAGAGCCTGGAAATGTGCAGCTTGAGAGTATTGTTGTTGTTGCTGCTGCTGCTGACGTTGTTGCGGTTGTTGTTGCTGCTGTTGTTGTTGAGCCGGGTACTGACCATTGTATTGCATTAGTAATTGTTGTTGAGCTGCTGCTGCTGCCGCCGCTGCTGCTGTAGCAGCTTGACCGGTGTTGAAAGGGACCATGGTTGGAAATTGTTCATTAAGTTTCTGTTGAAATTGATTACCACCAGCCAGAAATGGCATTTGATTTAGACCATTAGGTGTGGCGAAATTACGCCCCTGATTAAATTCTCCCATATTTAAAGGTGGCCGAACACGTGGAGGTGGCGGAGCTTTACGGATTAATTTGGGGAGCGTTCGTTCTTCCGGTGGCTTATCAGCGTACTCAATAGCTTCAGAAACTACAGAATCGATGACATCATCTAAGTGAGAGAGTGCAAGGTTTCCACTTCGAAAATGAGTTTCAGATTCCGGAATACCTAAAAACATTTTTTTCAAAATTGAAAGAACTTTAACAAAAATTAAGAGGAAGGATATAAATTTTCTAGGGTACCACGGACCATTCGACGAACGATAGAACAATCTTATCAGTCGGTTGAATACAGAAGTAGTTTACTTGATATTTATTTATCTAACACAAAACAATCTCACTAATCGCTATGTTTTGAATACGTCTACAATTACAAGCAAGAGACACGGATGTCTTGTCTTACGGTACGATCGGGATTTAACAACAGGACCATCAAACGGTGATTATAGAACGAATATAAGCCCTAATTTTATGTTAATTTGCACCTGAATGTACTAGAACGTTATAATTGTTCCTTTATCACATAAAAGATATAACTAACGTAAAAATAGGCACAATATATCAACTTCAATTGTTACATTTGTGTTAAAAATTAGAAACCAGAGGTAAATTTTTTAGCAACTAAGTACACACTTATACATTTGGCTGCAGCTAACTGAATTAGATGGAGAGATTTAAAATAACAGCCTGAGGGGGGGGCGATAGTGATGGACACCAAAAGTAAAGATAAATCAAACTGAAAAGTAACAAAACTAGTATATCAAAGCATGACGATGTTTGAGACTAATGAATATAATGTCTTAAACATTTCAAGGCGATAAGGTCAACGATCAAGGCATCGGTCTTCCAGTCATTAAATCACAAGTCCGAACCCCACTTTGCCAGCCAGTTAGTATCATTGGTCTCCAAACTTGATCTCGTTCGAAGCCAAGTACGATAATTCACCTGGTAAATTGGTTAAGCAAATAGACAATCCCGATGATCATGATTCATGTCGCCTATCATTCAGACATTGATTATTATTATCCTACGAACAAGGCAACATTGTCTTTCCCTATATGGCTTGGAATGACATTAGTATAAAAATTAATTAGTAAAAGAACTACATCTATTCCTTAACTTCCGCTAAAATAATGAACACTGTTCAGTCGTACATTCGTTATGTGATGAAAGATTATCGTATTATCAAACAGGCAGTTAAGCATGATGCACTAACTTATCATTCCTGGACTGTGCTGGGAGTAGTGAGCATGTTTTTCGCCAAACATTTCTAGTGGAGAGAATGAGTCACACAACAAGACGTCGTCCACCAGAAAACTTTGAAGCAATTATAAATATAAGCCTATTACCATGTTGCTTCTAAAATTTTCACAACTATGGACATTAGAGACTGTACTGACTAGCTCCTAAACTGCTAACAAAAATAGATATTTCTGGCTAACAAATGAGATAGTGCAACACAGCTGGTCGTGTATAATGCATTAACACTAGTGGGGATATCTTTAGCTGTTCTATCTACCTGGGAGAATGGCATGACAAACGAGTGGCGAAGGAACAAAATCTAAACATGGTTACAAAAATATTTCTTAATAGTCCCAACCCACGCCATATATGATGGTAAGACATGAGATCGCCCACTATAAAGCAATTACACTGCTTAAGTTTTTTCTCCTATTCAATTGCTAAGATATGGATAATTAAGGTAAATGATGCAACAAGCATACAGTGAGTTATAGAAACGACTATAAATGTTTTCTTGATATAATAGTCAGCCTTGTCTATTGTGACGACTCAACCGAGCTGTTGCTCGGAATACTATCATTGAGGTTCTACTATGACAGATTAATTGGACAGTAATAAAGTTGAAACTAGCGAACAGTCAGAGGACGGAGTAGATTTGAAATAACCAGTATCTTGAGTGACGCTGCATTCTCACCAAGCTCAAAGATTAGAAATGTCACATTACACCGTGCTCAGTCGATTTCTAATGTCGAGAGTAAGGTTCGAGAAATACAGGACTAATAAAAAGGTCGCATGTGACCAGACTTTGGCAGTCGCATTATGGGGCATGTGATTACCTGTTACAGGGATCGAGTGTAACCATTAGCCTGACCTTGGAAAATGTAGATAATAACGACTAAACTTTTACACATCTGGAAACATGTTAGCTTTTATGACTTCACAACTGTAGATTTAGCAATTAATTGAAAAGTGTTTCCGACTAAACCCGTCCGACAACGTTCTGCCCACTGGAAGCTTGGACAATGAGTTCCATGTTTCTCAGTTTTATATAAATGAGTAATTGCTAGCTAACAGTAAAATTCGGGAGTCGTCGACAATGCGCTATCTTAAGCTTTTTAATTTCAACGCCACCTTGAACTTACACTATATTACAATCAACTGGTAGTATGGTTATGTTCACGACGTTGCGTTGTCATGGTCAGAAAAGCCATTGATCTAAGTGGATGGGGTTCGGAAAGCTTGGTTAGTTTTTGCTAATATGCACCACCTGTTGTGCAGATGAAACATTAATAAGCGGAACAGAGGACACGTTTACGGAGCAGCAGTTCGCTGTCTTATTTTATGATTGTGAAACGTAGTCTCTAAAATATTCGTGAGCTACCAGTATTTGATTATAAGTGTCTCCAAAGTATTGATCGTTTATGTTGAAACTAACGTGTAACCAATGCTGAGGTTAGGGATAAGGTACTAGGCATATATGATGAACCGGCTGGTAAGGTAATGAATCTATATCAACTGAGGTGGTTGTGATGTTACATAAGCCTAATCGCGACGACCTTGAAAGGTGTTGTCTGGTTTATAAATATAATAATAACTAATCTATTCGGCAGGTATTTTAATGGGCCACGCTCGGAGAGCTACTGGTACTACCCGGTTGCCTAAACGGCGTAGATGGAGTGGGCCACGTACCTAGGGACTTAGTGACTGAGTGGAACGTCTCAACCATCAGGCCGCCTCTAGGGTTTGTTTGTGACATTAGTCCACATTAGCCCACTCCTGGCACTAGACTTGCCCCCAAATGCCCTGGTACGACCGAGAGTGGGGAGAGTTCACTCTCCCTCTCGAAATGCACTCACATGACCACACGTATATAGCCTGTGCCAGGGAAGTCCTACCCACTGTCTTCTCGTGGCAATACTGTTGTTTACGAAATTGAAAGGACGAAAAGCGAACGTTTGGCGCTTTAACCGGGTCGCTGGACACGTCCAGTCCACCTAGGGGAGTTGGAAAACCCTGATTACAAACCAATGGTGCACATGAGCTCCAGTATCCTGAGGGAACAAATGGCGTATTAATCAATCGTTGATCACCGGCTACCATGGGACTGCATCTCCTTACGATGCTCTACTGCCTTGTGGATCAGACCCTTAGGTTAAAGGCTCCGGGTGTGGCCCCCTAAGAAAACCACCTTTGGGCACCTGGGCAGTATCACAGCTCTTACACAAGTCGAATGAGATCTGTGCGGCGCATACGTAACTGGTGCTTCTTTGTACCAATGTTTATGTTTAAATAAATTAAATAAACTATATGCTAACTCTAACTAGAGGTTAGAGATGCCAGGTGACATGACCTTGAATCGATCGGGGAGCCAAAATCCTCTTATTCTTCGTCTTTCTTCAGACCCTACGCGCCGAAATCTTATACTTTTTCCCGCACCTAATCTCACCTACTACTACTTTTACTGATGCTGTTACTACTCCTACCATTTGGATTGAGAATTTTATTTTGCTGTGCTAATGTGGTGTAGTAATTTGAACCGATCCATGTATGCCAGGTTTTGTTGCATGTAACTGACTGCCTGAAGTAGATTGATGTAAACATATTGACTACAATCAGACTGTTTCCGAACATCAAAACATGTCAGTTCAACAAAGAGTGGTGAGCATAGGGTGGGTTTGCAGGATGTAATGAAAATAACGAATACATTTGCTCAAGACTTGGTAAAATATCGGGCATTTAAATACTAGGCTTACCAAAGCTCTTTACAACTTCACGAACCGGCCCGTCTACATTAACAGACTACAAATATGACGAAACGTCTCTAATGCGAAAGAATTAAAAAACCCTGTTCAATTTAGAAATGTAGAACCTGGTACAAATGTGCATTGGCCCAAATTGCTGTCCCATATTGAGACAAAATAAAAGTAACACGATGAATAGGAAAGGAATAGAGATTATGGAAGCAGTCGCTGTGAGAACAAATAAACACTGAAAATACAATTCGGAAAGGTACTTATGGAGAAATACTAAAGCCTAAAATCAAGAGGAGGACAAATAATGAAAGAATCTGTACCACCGCAACTGTTCTCAGCATTCCAAAGTATTGATAAGTTATTGCACACATTCTAATCTGGTAGTCTACATCTACTAACGACTCGTTTCAAGTCAATGATTTAATGGGCTGATGCCATCTCTAGGGTTTCCCGATCCTGTTTTCTTTGAGCCTGTCTGCTCCAGAAATCATTCCGTATTAAGAGGTACATGTAACACGTCCAAGAAACTACAGTCGATGAGGATTTGAAGACAAACCAACCGACTTGCCATCTGTGCTAGGTACCCTATGTTTAACCTCGGAATCGCTTAACCAGTTGTCCCACGATACACAAGCAATGTTTCGAAGACACATGATTGAAAACTAGTGCCTCAAGCATTTCTTCTTCCAAATAGTTTCATATCAACGGCACGAGAGCGGGTTGCTACGTAGTATACTCCTTCACTGAAAATTGGCTAGTAACTTAGTGAATGGGAGACACTAACAGAGAAAACGCTGACATCAGCGAAAAATGTGAGGTAGGTGGCAGGCCGACTAATGATTTCCAAATAAGTTTTAGAAAGTAAACAACGTATCTCCAGAAATACTTCAGTTGACTTATAGCCTCCTGAACGCTAGGAAAAACCAAATAGATATGCGCCGCATAAGTCATTCGATTTGTGTTTTAGTGGTTGTTAAGCACTAATACATCTAATAACGTGAGGGTCCGGAAAAGACAACTCCCAGAGCCAATGGGATTTTCCGTGACAAATTTTCCTTACTGAGCTGATGGGGAATGGCAACTTGGAGTGATGTACACCTGTGTCAGGTTTTATGCTGTTCCAATGACTGAAAACCTCACACGTTAACACAGACATGATTCTACCACTTTTCGAGAATGGGAGTGAACTGGTTAGTTGAGGGATTTAATTCCTAAAAAATTAATTTCAGATTAAGGTGATTATCATCCCTATCTTGAAAAAGGGCGTGTATAAAACATGAGATAATTACCACATAGTATGGGGTTACAGTCAAATATAAGCTACTGAGTTTAGTTATACCTCAAAGATTGAGCGAAACTCGTGAGGCCAACCCATGAAGGGTCTGGTTTCCGTAAAGGTCATGTATGCATTGATTAAACCCCTAACCTAACAAACGCATGAAGACTGTCATGGTCTTTGCAGACTGACACTCGTTCCTTGATACTAGGGTTGTCTTTGTTTTATTATACAGGTCTGCGATCTGGGATTATCTGTTGAAAGATACAGAGCACCTATCAAAATCTTTGAGACAGTACAAAATACAGATTGATGGTATTCAACCATTCCCCTTAATCGCTCCATACAAGGAATATGATTGTTTAGTCTCAATATTAATCTTTAGTTTTGATACCGATGATACTTTGGGAACAACGATGAAGTATGCAGTATGGACCAGTTAGCCGAAGACTTCTCGACTTTGAATATAAACTGACATAAATTACGTAAATTGCACTTAATCAAAGAGCAATTATTGTACGGAATGCACTTGACATCTTCAAAATAAGAATTTTTCAAGACTGGCACGAGCCTGTATGCACCCACAATTTTCAGTAAGCTGTAAAACATCTAACAACCTGTGTATATGTACTAGTATGAGACTGGGAACATCAAAAATAAAGTCACTGAGTAAACTAAAGCCAAATTATCTTACATCACGGATACCTTTTGCTTGATTATCGTGACCAGTGGTTATAGAGGAGCAACAGTTTACAACTGAGCCCTAATTGAAGTCCGACATTTTTAAGTAATAAGCACTTTGTGTTTAGTATACAAGACCTTGAATAGTATGACAAACGGTGATTACAATTTACGGACGATCTTTGAGAGACGTTAAAGCGACTTTGAGAACATCCACCTAGGGATTAAATGAGGATAATAAATTAGAGAAATTGAGATTTGGAATTCAGGGCTAGGATTAGATCTAGAACTTTCATCACGAATTGACATTAGCCTTAATGCTATTTAGCCGAATTCGGCACCAAAATTAACGGCTTGTTATCCCAAATCTGCTTGGTTCGGCTATAAATTAGTCTCACCTAACCAACAATGGTTGTGTACCGGAGAATTCGGACTAGCATGTTAATGTATTCTAAGACACAAGATTTCCCCTTTCTCAAAAACCCACCAGTTTACTTTTGGTCAGGTCTTCTGAAAATCACCAAGGTCGTCTTAAGATTACGACTGAAAATTTAGAATGGCAGTTTTGTCAGGTAAAACGTCAACTTATTTGATGTAGTGAAGACAGTGACTCAAACATGGAACCCAGACCCTTCAAGTGTGTTGGCTTGAGTTTTTTCAAGGGTGACAAGTGCGAACCGATCAAGAGGTAAAAAAAAGGTGAATGCAGGAGCGCCAGTCGGGAATAAATCAAGGGCACAACATGGGGGTCGCGAGGTGATCAAGCGGAAACATTATTTGCCACTTCATGGTGGTACAACTCATCAAACGGATTTATCGTACAATTTTGCCATTAAGCTAGTGCATTTCATAATTTACTCTGGTAATTGTCAACTAATAAACTATATAAATATGGAGAAGAGCTTTTCTAAATACAATCAAAGGGCACAATCGATTTTAGAGGACATTTCATGACGCAGTGTATCCCTCTTTAGTAGACAACCAGGCAGAATGCCTAACTAGTTACCCAGAACGATTCCACGATCGCCTTAAGCCGTAAAAGGTAGTCTTTGTGAATGACTCACCTAGTAGTGGTGGGGACGCAACGCCTGCTAATTTGTAAGGGCGTCACAATCCAACACTAAAAAAGCCTAAGACACTAACAATGGGATCAACTTTCAGTGAAATTTGCTGCTTTCTGGAGTATATTGTAACCAAATCTAACACTAGGAGTAATAATCGGTTTCATTGGTTTGCTTAGGATTTCTTAGTTATCATTGTTTCAATTAGAACTCAAAAAGCCAGATTATTCAGGCGATTTATCCAAATTTATCAAAACGACAAGAAGGGTATAAATTTGAAATAGACTTACTCTGAAATGAATTGTCCACTTGCTCAGGGGAGGCTGTCATGACGATAGTTTTAACAAAACACCTTAATTGTAATCAATTCTTTGCGCTAACAGAAGGAATCGTGACTTAAACAAATATATTGGACAAACAACTCACATCACTTGTAGGGTTTTAATAACTGCAATTTACATGAACTTTAAATATTTGCATGTCAGTCAGGTACTGAGATTATAAAAAGATGCTGTTAGTCATTAGAAGGTCACTTCGAATTCACATATACTCCAAAGCATAATTGTCTAGTAATTTAAGTAACGCTTTATCATATGGTTCCAAATGAACCTGAACTGAATAAAAATATCACGTTTTCTCTTAAAAGGCTCCTGAAAAGTCGCTTATACTAAACCACCAGGCTGCATATTCCGGAATTTTACTACTGTTAACTAGTAGAAAGTGTCCCGACGGTTCTGTTCTGCTATTCTGTGTCTCCAGATCCTGTTGTTGCCTCTTAGGTTCGTATAGAGTCTGAGCTTAAATAAGCCATATAAGGGGATACCCAGCATTGTTAATAATCCTGCTCTGAGATAAGTAAATTCTCAAAATAAATAGCTCTCTGAGTTGAAACGTCGATGCTAACCTCATCTGGTCTACTGGACACACCCTTGCTGAAGGTGATCGGTCACTCCATGCTGCGCTTCTTGGAACTGTTTTCCAGCGTAGACCAAACGCTTTTTCACAAATCGGTAGTCTTATAGATGTTTCTTCAAACCTCTACCGTTCTACCTTCTGATTTCACTGGGTTGGTATACATTGATTATAAAGGTGTTACGTATAAATGCGTTATCAAACTCTGAATACCTGTCGTATCTTTACCTGTAAGTCATTGACAGTTTACCTCTTGGATGCCTTAACTCTAATGAGTGCAGGTTCAGTGGCCTGAGATACCCTTTATATGACTTGAATTTGGGCCATCAGACTGATTTCTTAGCTCGAGTGTATTTTTATGTTTTTGGAGCGAGGGCAAAAGCGCTACATTCCCATACTTCAAGTTGAGTTGAATAAATCTATTTAAAATCAAGTTGAAATTCTGACTGACAAACTGGTCAAAAAATGCGAATCAGGATTATCAATACAAGGTTTTCCCTCAATGCATTTTCATCATAGCTAACCTAAGGCTTTAGATTATAGGGTACCAAAACACTCAGATCGTATTCAACCTGCCACACCTTCAAAGATGAATCGTTGTGATTGTGTATGTGGTTTGCAACGCAATCCATACGGATTGTTTTACTATTTGAAGTGCTGAAAGTAAGTGCATTATTATCCAACCCAGCTTGAAGTAGAATTAGATCCCTTTGGAGTTTTGGTTAATTAACCTGGTTGAAAACTTTTCCCCAAAGTTTAGTACGATCAGTGGAAATTACTAACTCAGATGATGGCGTCCCACCACTGATAGCTCGTACGTCCACTGTTGAAAGAATTAAGCTAATTTTATGTTTTCGTCTTAATTTGGCGTGAGTTAAGTATTTACCCATTCTCAATTGATCCTGACCGTATAAAACTTAACATTTATACATAAAAGGCACTCATCAAAACATCAGGGTCACGTCATGATACAGTCCTCACGAGGTATTTTGCCATAAATTCCACTCGCGTCTCTTCAAAAGTTACTTTAGAGCCCGACACCGGACGAAAGAGGAGCGTAGATCATGAAATCAGCAACCTCATTCCGTACAAAGTAACCTTGCTGAAAAACGCGAAGAAGAATACACAGTTTAAATCACTTAAACTCTGCCATCCGAGTTGAACGATATTCATTCAGAAGAATTATCACACATCATCGTCAAAACTGAGATTCTTCTCAAGTCACGAAGCCGATACGACAACTGACAACCACAGCAACAATCAATACAGGCACATCAAATGTACGGACAATATCCGGAACTGGGAGGACAAGTCAAATAGATTTGCAAATGAGGAGATACAACAAAGAGGTGCTCGGAATAAGTAAAACACATTGGATCCAAGCTCGACAGAAAACATTAGATTCGGGAGAGACGTTGCTCAGGGAGTTGCTCTGATGCTATCCAAAGAAGCAATAAAAGCAATCATAGGATGTGGATCTCATAGATCCAAAATCACCAAGGCATCCTTCAAAGCAATGAAGGAAGGAATCACAATCAATGTAATCCAATATTATGCACACATCAATGATGACAACGAAGACGATAAATAACAGTTTGATGAGAGGCTGAAATCGGTCGTAGAGAAGTATCTACGAAAGCACTTAACAATCCTTATGGGAGACCCAGACACCAACATCGGGTATGAAAATATCATACAAAGACATGAACTGATTGGGAGGAAGGAAAGATAATGGTGACAGATTTGAAAATTTATGTACATTCAACAAAATGGTTATACGTGGCACTATATTCCTACACAAACGCACACACAAAGCTATATACATCTCATCGGATCACACTACACACAACCAAATTCAAAAGAAGAATGGAGGAAGTGAGAAGCAGGAAAGGAACCTACATAGTTTCATATCACAACCTGGTGATTTTCAAGATTAAACTGAAGCTAAGTACGCAATAGACAACTGGACGAACAGCATTACAAAGGTTCAATACACACTTCAATCGAGATACTTAAAAAACCAACCAATTCAACACAGCTCTCAATAACAGGTTCCAAGTCTTACAAAATTTAATCAAAGATGAGAACATTAATACGGAGAGCAATCGGAAAGAAATCAGAGAAGCACTAACTTCAACATGCCAATAGGTGTTGTGCCCCAAGAAGCATCAGCACGAGGATCAGGTTCCCATCGAAACCCTCAGTAGGATTCAAGAAGGAAAGAAAAAGGACAGAGACTTCTTCTGAATATCACTGATCAACATGCTCGATTTTGTCAGAGTCGATCATGAACCTATCGATCTACAACACTGTTGGTCATTGTCGAATAATCAAATTGACGTACTCCACACTATACATCAACTTCCTTGACTATGACAAGCATTCGACAGCACAGATAGGAGAAACTTATACAATCCTTCTCCATATTGTGGTGCATCTGAAGCTATTCTCATCGTTATACGAAACTTCAACAAGTTGTACGAATGGACTATTTCGTGGAATTTGCCACTTAATGTTAACAAAAGTGGATTTATTAACATTGGCCGTTGCCTTAACTTAAATCTGGCTATACACAAACATACACTGAAACCTCTAAACACTGTACGTGACTTGGGTTTAAGATACAGCGACAGTTTGAACTTTTCGGAACACATTGCATCTCAAGTATCCAAAGCTAGAAAGCTCATCGGATTCATAATGATTAATTTCAATAATACCGAATCGAGATTATTATTATACAGAAAATGTATCTTACCAATTCTTGAATATGGTATCTTAGTTTACAGTAACTGCAGGCATAATGACCTGATTAAAATTGAAAGTGTTCAAAGAAGGTTCACCAAAGCTGTTTTGGGGTATTCTGACAACAAAGACTATCACCAAAGATGTCAACAACTCAAACTAGAACCTCTCTGGATCAGTTGTATCAAACTAAAACTTATTTTTCTCTACCGGCTTCTTACTCTTCGCTATCTACCCCATCATACTCTATGATACCGTCCCACAATCTACGCAATAAGGAAAATATTATAGCGATTCCAAAAACCCAAACAAATTTACGCCAGAATTTTTTCGTTATTCGCTACTCAACCATCTGGAATAGACTACCAATGAACCTCCGATGCAGTGAAACTATAATCCGGTTCCGAAGTCTTCTTGATGACTTTCTTTCCGAAAGTGGATTGTGTCACCTTTTGAATATTAACGTGCTTAACAACGATTTATACAAAAATGGTCCGTCATCTACCTAACTGACTGAAAATCAAAGTGAAACCTTTGAAACTTTTCACTTTATTTTATATTTATCTGAATATATAAAGTCTGCTTATGTTCGTATTTATAATTATTACTGTTATTAATATCATTATTGGTCTTTCGACACATTAGATATTCATTTCATCTCTTCTTGTCCTTCTAAACATATTTTATCCAAAGTCTACAATTAAAAACAAAAAACCCCTATGTTCCACTTAAATAATTTTTTTTCTTTTTTTCTTTTTTTCTTTTTTTCAAAATATTCACAACATATAACATATAAAAAATTTATATTTAATTATTCTTTGCAATTAATTGTGACTATGATAGCATCATTGTATATTATTATTATCGCACTAATGTTTATACTACAACCCGGTTTCACTCTGTATACTGTTACATAATTCTACACATATTTATCCGAGTGCAGTAAAGGTTTATTATTATTGTTACTATTGTTATTATTATTTTAAAATTATTTGTTCATCTCAAAAGTCTATATCCATTACACTATTATGATCATGGTTGAACCCTTTCACTATGTGTTCATTTCTTTACTCTCTCCTTTTTTTTCCTTCTACATAAATATTATTCTTAAGATTACGAAGCTTTGGATTAAGGCAATAACTTGTGTTACGCTGAATTAAAACTTATCAGTCTCTTTTTATCTTCACTATGTATATACACCTAATACACATTGATTATCTTTTGCACTTAATTGAAACTTTCAGGGCATCACCCAAAACTATGACTGTGCTAGCACAAACACTTATTCTAACGTCATATCTTACAGCAATAATAAGTTATTTACTTTTTAATTTATTTTGTTTTATTTTATTTTTATTACTCGTTTTTGCTATACATACATAGTTGTTTATTCTTGTTCTGCGTTGAGATATTTACGTCTCCCGCGTCTCCTTTATTTCTATTTCCTTAGTTTCTTCCTTTCCTCCTTCAAAATCAATTCAAAATTCTTGCTAATTACACAGAACCTCATTTATTATTACTATTCTATTATTAATATTTTATTTTCCTTTTCCATCCTTTCTCAAACATGGCATATGTATTGTTAACATTATTGAAAATTGTGTATTATTGCATTTTTGAAGAAACCCGAAATGGTTTCTTCACAGCAATTATGTACCCATAAGGTGTTTGTGAATAATAATAATAATAATAACTGAATTACAAAGATATGCAGAGAGAACAGCCCATAGATGTATTGCAGTTGAAAGGTGTTGTCATAAAAAGCTGTTTATTCTCATCCTCTCTCTGTCTGACCATTGTTAGGTGATGTGTGAAGATCTTCACATCTCTGAAGCAGCACAGCGAACAGTGG